AAGTTCTTTTTCAGAATTATTTAACCCTAAGTTTTGAAAGAATTTAATAATATTGTTTTATTATTTTGTTGATTCTTACATTGAACTGTTTCAGGTATACTACTAAGAAATAAATATGTTAGAACACCGAGTAGAATTATTGGTATACCTTCGAGCAAAAAAATCCATTGCCAATCTTTTAGACTAGATAGATTTCTTATTTGTGCGATACCATAAGACTAAAATTTGATAAAAAAATTTAAATAGTCAATTTTTTATCATCCTTTTTTTCTTTTATTTTAACATTTAAATATATGACATATAATATATATTAAGTTTTTTCAATCACATTAAATAAATAAAATCTTCAAATTCTTACTATAATTCCTCCAAAAATGCCAGCAGTGATGGCAGCTCCAAAGAAAAGCGATATTCTCATAGTTTGTTCTGCTTTTCGATACCATAAAGAAAGATAAATGGTTATACCAGGAAAATAAGCTGCAACAATCATACCCTTCAATAAATATTTTCTTATCTATTATTATTATTATTATTATTATTGTATTAATATCACTTACCAGAAGAAAACGGAGAACAAGTAATTCTCTAGCATTAGTTACAAAAGCCATACCAATCATAACACTTCCCCATAAAATCATACTTAATGACAAATAACGAGTTGTACCAAGAAAACGTAATAGTAAAAAACTTGGAATTCCAAATATAATCTGTATTATCAATATAAATATAAAAACAAATTGTTAAAATTAATTTAATAATAAGAGAATATTTCATAAATCGAAAAAGTCTAGTAGATAATATAATCAATAGACTTTTTCATATCTGATTAATAATAATCACTTACATAGGATATGTAAAATAATGAAATTGACAAACTATCTTCTATTGTGGATAAACCAAGATCATTCTTCAGAGTAGTCAGTCGAGTATGGCCTAAATTAATTTAAACGTGTTAAATAATATCGGAGAATTCTATAAATAATAACCTATTATTATTTGACAACTGAACGAAGATAACTCGAGTAACATAAAGAAAGGAATAAGACGTTTATCAATTTTTTTAATAAGTCGATTAATAGCTCTTTTAACTTGTATAGTTTCTTGATTTTGTTCGATAACTTGCATTGTACCTTCAATAATATACATTGTTGAACAAAAAATTAATATTTTCACTTTAAAAATATTTGATTAACTCTTGATAGATTTAACTAAATATTCTATATTCCTCAAGACTTTATCAATCGACATATATTTAATCATTTATTATTCTACGCATAATAATAGATTTTTATACATTTTCATCAAAATGATTTATTATTTACAATAGAAGAGTATATTACTGTTCGTTTCAACTTCACTATGCCTTATATAGTGTCGTAAAAATACTATTAAAATTATTCATAGTCGAAAAAACTTCCCACTAGACTAGGAGTTTTTTTTTTTCTTGTTTCCTAATTTAACATTGTCCTTGTCGAGTGAGTAAAGAGAGAACGTTTTATCAGTTAAATAAATACTCCTGTTTCTTCATTGACTCTTTGATTTCTTTGGAATTCGTTGAAATAAACATAGAACATTTATTTACGCAAGTTAATTAATGTAATAGCATATCAGAATGTGTTGCCTATCAAATATATTTTAGAATTCTTTCTCAGGTAGAAATCGAACATAATTCGATACATAAAAAACTCTTGAAAAATGGTTTAAGAACCTTAATGTTATTTAGAGTTTTTTCGAAAAAAAATAATTAGTCGTTTTTCACTCTAAAATACAGAATATAAAAGAAAAAGGCTTCGACATAAGCTCTATTTTAACATGTTATTTCAAATGAAATAATTTAATAAAGAGTTCGAGGGAAGTTTTATCATACCATATGAAATAATTTTGACCCTTGGTAGATGCATCTCTTATAAAAACTTCATGGTATATGGATAGAATTTTCAGCATAACCTTTTCACTACGATCAGATTGAACTTGACTGAAAAATGACTTTGATGAAAGTTAACCTTCATACTGAGTTTCATTAGTCTCTTGTCATACGTAACTTATCTAAGGATAAGAGCATTGTTGGTTTAAGACAGGGCAATATTGCTTCAATTCAATTCTCTTCCGTCAATAAGATCTCTTTTGTAAAAATGATGCTTTTCTGAATAAAACTTGACTAGAATTTTTTCAGGTCAACGGATCCGAATCTCTATAAAAATTTTTCAAAATCTTGTAAATTCACTTTTTTAGGTCTCACAATCTCAAATTTTTATCTTGTTTGTCTGGTTTTCTAGAAAAAACAATTATTATCGTAATAAAGACCTTTCCTATCGAGAAAATTTCATTGGAATAGTATTAACCTGAAGATAAACATTTATCCACTTTATTTTAAATAAATAATATTTTAAGAAAAAAAAACTTTTACTTTATATTAATGAATAAGTTGGTGGTGCAATAGAAATATAATGTAAATGGTCTATTCCATTCTACCAAGCCTCGGTATAACAACAGGGACATATCTATCGTCAATGACTAAAAGCATCGATTAAGAGGATAATTTGAATAGATAAACGTAACTGTTAAATAATATGAATGGATTAAGAAAATAGGTATATATATATAGTAATATACGTGTAATAGACGGACGGATTGGTATGGATTTAGTGAGATTCCATTATACTTTGTATGATATATTGACTAGGAAAACATTTTTAAAATCAAATGAAAATGATTTTGTATGAACGGTTCGTTTTACGTAGGTTAGAAAAGGACTTTATTTCATTGGAAAAATTCGAAACATTTTTTCAAGATTTCTATGGAGTCTTTTTTCGTTCATGTACCTTGTTGATAATCACCTTTAAGGCTATTTGAAACCGTTTTAGTAATTCATACATACTTATCAAGGATTTATGAAAGTCTATTCTATAGAAAATCTATCTTAACAGACTAGACTGACCTGAATAGATTACTAACACTCTTGTTAATAATGTTTATCTAGTTACTTAACATATACACAAAGTGACTAACTGACATATAACACAAGCTTATATAGAAGAGAGAAAGGAGATGCGAATGAGCACAAAAAAAAAAACAATAGACAAAGAATAAAGAAAAAAAAAAGATCATCGGAAGATAATATTTATATTGTCATAAAATTGTTTAATGATTTATGAATATTATAAATCCATTGATAAACTATATCCATATATCCTCTCTCAAAAGAGTTTATGAAGATCTCATTAATCGTCACTAATAGCTACCTACAGAGATAATTCAACTTTCATTAACTGTCAGAAAGTTTATTATTGTACGATGTTTTCTTTTATAGTTTATTCTCGCTTGATATGATGATAAAGTGGTATGCATGGTTTTTTACCTGTTTATCCTTTATGTTAATCTATACATTCATTCACAAGTATATTAATATTCAAATGATTGGGTTTTTTTTCTGAATATTTAATGTATCATTTCTTATCAAGTAGAAACAAGAATATATTAGAGTAATGTCATTTAAAATCTGCTTGATTATCCAATAATTGGGGGAATGCATGAATTAACTTTAATTAAGTGTTTTTTATAAGTAAAAAACAAACGTTGCATGTAAATGTTATTTGACATGTCCGAAATTGAATAAAATGAGAGGAAATGTGTATGAGAGAGAATATATTCTGGCCAATGGACAATAAGTAAAATGTTTTGCATTTAACTCAATTCGATTATGTGCGAATTAAAAGTGTAGAGTTATATATTGTTTGTTTGAAAAAGTTTGTCGTTTTTGACATGTTTGAATAATAAAAGGATACGATAATGATGATAAGATCATTCGTTTTTAGTGAATAAAAATTATATAATGCTTTTATTGATCCACTATATTGAGACACAATATCATTTCTGTTCAAGGTTATATAAAGAGAAGATATGTTTGAAATTGTTCAAGTTCGATAGTGAAATATATTCTGTCTTCTCATAATTAATAAAATAAACAATAATTAATTAAAAACAAATCTATATTGTCATTATATAGAAAATCCATGATAATCGATTTATTATCTTTAACATTCGAGTTCTAACAGATCATCTTTGTTTTTCAATTCTATAAATATTTTAATTCGATAAATTTATTACTTTCAAATATTTATTTTTTCCTGAATATAATCTTATTTTTCTTTTCTTTTCTTTATTCAACTTAATTTAATATTCATCGTCACTTTTGTCAATAGTGAAAAAAAAACTCTTAATTAGATAATATATTGACTAATTATTTTATTCAATTATATTTATTTGAGTATATATAATTATATTTTATTTATTTATAATTAACATTAAAATATAATCGATTTACTTATATAGAAAATAAAACTTCTATGAATATATAATAAAAATATGTTAATAGAAAGAAAAAAAGAATAAATCATTTTTGATCAATAAATATATTGCATTTTGTTTATGATTTGAAAAAACTATAAATTATTTATAAAAGTGTTGACAATCTTCATAGTGAAAATTTTTATTATCTTGACGTTTTGATATTGTGTTTTATTGAAATAATATTGTATTAATTAGATTTTGATTCTGTTTATTACTTTAAATAGTCTTAGAAAAATTGTTCGATATATAGATTGATCGAAATAAAATCTTTCGAGAAGATTTTGACTTATCTTATATTAATGATAATAAATGAAAATTAATCTCAGGTAGAATGCTTCTATCAATCCCTAAATTCATCTGACGATGACGACGGCGATAATGTTCTTGAGAACCATTCTCTCGCTGATTTCATCAGTTTCATAAATCGTTTTTGTTTTTTTGTTATTGATCATAGTTCGAAGGTAAGTAATTATCGATAGGATCTTTATCTTAAATAATAACATTTGAGAATTGTTTCAATATAATATGTTACTCTCTTTCTATAAGACATAATATATCAAAATGAATAAGTATTTCAACTTATTATATTTATTAGAATATTTCTCCGATAACCAATCAATTTATATAAAAAGGTATTCTCGATTATTTATACAATTTGCTTAGAAAAAAACTGAATAAATATAATTATATTTTGTTTTGTTTTGTTGAATAAATAGTCATATTAAATAAAACTGAATCGAAAAACATCATTCAAATGATGTTTTTAAAGATAAAATGTTAATGTATGAATGCATTCATTTTATTTGAATATATTAATAAATAATCAGTCTTAGAATAATAAAATCAAAACAAGTTATTATTTGTTGATAATATATATTTATGTGTTATTCTATAGACTATTGAAAATATATTTTCATTAAAAAATTAATTTAAATGGAAGATTTGGAAGTGAAATCGAATAATGATTTTAATCAAGAATATAAATTATGTGTTCTTGGTCAAGGTGCAGTTGGAAAAACTTCTCTTGTTAGTTTTTAAAAAACTAATTTTATTATTAAATTAATCGATTTTTTGTTATTTTCTTTATTGTTTTAGGCAATAAAATTTGTTGATGGTGTTTTTATTAGTAGATATGATCCAACTATTGAAGATGTTTATAAAAAAGTATTTGTTTTTAATATATTATATTATATTAAGAGAAGATTTGGAAATTCCATTTAGACAATTGAAATCGATGAAAAACAATTTTCTGTAGAAATTCTTGATACAGCTGGAACCGTTTGTTATTAATTAATATTTTTTATTTTAAAAGAAATTTTCTTTTTTTATAATAGGAAATATTTACAGTAATGCGGGATTTATATATAAGAAATAGTAAAGGTTTTGCAATTATTTATTCAATTGCATCTCAATCAACATTTGATCAAGTTCAGCTTTTTTATAATCAAATAATGAATATCAAAGTAAATTTTATTTATTTATTTGTTAGAAACAAACAAAAAAAAAAAAGAACAAAACCATTAATTAAATAAATCTAAATAGAAAGAACAACCAGCATTAGTACTTGTTGGAAATAAAGTTGATTTATCAAAAACGGAGAGAATTGTTCATAGAGAAAAAGGTCAAACATTAGCTGATCAATGGATGTGTCCATTTTATGAAACATCAGCTAAACATTCTATTAATGTTAATCAAGTTAGTTCAATTATTAATATTCGTTTATTCCTTAAATATTTATTTTTATTTAGATATTTATGGATTTAATAAGACAAATTGATCGTCGATTACCATATATAAGAAAAGCATCACGACAAACCGATATACCTTTAACTGGTATTTCACCTATTAATTATTATTTTTGTTGTTCATTTTTTACTCGAAAACAAAAAAAACAAAAACAAGAAAAATAAAATTTAATTAAAAATAAAAATATTATTCAAGAAAGATTTTTTATTTGATTATTTATATATTATATTAAATAAAATCTAAACCAGAGATGCCAACAGGCCACTTTTTTCCGGTCTGGCCTGGCCTGACCTAGCGTACAGGACAGGCCAAAAACCAAAGAGTGACCTGCGGCCTGACCTGCAGGTCAAACCAGGCCGATTGATGTTTCTGATTTTTGAAATCCATTAAATTCAATAACTCTGTACTAATCAGAGCTGCCGGCAGACTACTTTTTTGCGGCCTGGCCTGGTCTAATTCATATTGCCTGCAAACTTCGAATATGAATTTGCATATCTTATACTGATTTTTATTTAAGTGTAGTGAGGAACTTGTTGAAAAGCCTAAACAATCCTTTCAATGGTGAGTCAACAGATTTTTGTTTAGCTTATAGGTCTCTTTTTCAACACACTAAGACCTGTTGGAGTCGGCCATTTTGAAGAAAGGATACTTCTATAGTGTGTGAGTGGATGTTAATCTGTCTAGGTATTTTTGACACCCACACACCGTCCGAGAAAGGCTTCAATTAACAAAATGCCTTCGATTGTAGCAAATCTGTTCTGCATTATTCGAAAAAATATATCCATGATAACTAAACAACATATGACGAACCGTAGAATGAATAGGTAAAGAAAATACAGAACAAAAATATCGTCAATGAGTGTTACTTATGATGGGAGGCAACGAGATTTTTATTTAAGAATCAAATTTAATGAATACACGATCACAAAATTTATTATCCATTTGTTCTGAATCTAAACAAGCTCTTCTGTGAGTGAATACAGATCCTATAACATTAAATTAATGTTCAGTACAAGTTTTGACCGCTAGAATCGCATGAATTTGTTAAATCACTTTCGGATAATAAGACCATGCATCAATATTTGATCTTCAACATTTAGGAACTACTCAAGTAAAAGTCAATAAGTATTCTGTGATTTAACGAGAAAATATATTACGGTTATATATCGGAAAACACGTTAAAAATTGGCTTTTAACGAAATTCCGCACATTCTATCTCGACAGAAACAGTTTAGCTTGAATTAACAAATGAGATTTGTTAAAAAGAACGTTTAGCACATATTAATAGTGAAAAATGTTATGCCTTCTTTTCGTTAAATCGTTAAATTTTCTTAAAATTTTTACATGGACAAGCTGATCATTTTGATCTGGTCTAGCCTGCAGGCCAACAACTTCAGCCTGGCCTGGCCTGCAGGACAGGCCGAATATTATTTCGACGGATCAGGCCAGGCTAAAATTTCAGAATTCGGCCTGGCCTGGTGGACGGCCTGAGGGCCTGCGAGGCGCCTGTCAGGCAGCAGGCCAGGCCGGCAGCTCTGATCTAAACAACAATTAATATATGCTTCTTTTTTTTTTCTTCTTTATTAGATCAATCAATTCTATTAACAATCATCATTAATCATTTTCAGTCAACTACAACAAGACAAATAGCAATAAATATATTTTATTCTATCATTCAACTTCTTTCACTATAACAATAGGAAAAGTCTCTTATTTACAACAGAATAATTCTTTGATACCGACTGATTGAATCTTGCCATTTGCCAATATCGATTAGTTTTTATTGTTCGAAATTACTAAATGATATTATTTAGTGATGCTATATTGAACAGTTCTATCAACGAAAATAAAATAATTATTCGACCGACATTTAATGTTAAAACGTGCAGAAAAATGATTCTTACTATTTGAATGCTGCTTTAGAATATTATTGATGAATTCAATCATTTTCTATCAGTTAAAGACTTTTTTTTATCTTATGTCAATGCATTTGTCTGGGATGATATATGTTACGGTTATTATTGAATTGTCAAAAAACAAAAAAAAACATATTGATCCATATAAGTAAACCGTTAATGAAATATTGACTGAATGTTGCTAGAATGGCAATATCCAGTTATAGAGGTTTAAATTATATTAATAATCGAAGAATAATTTATATTATGATTAAATAATAATAATATTTATTTTAAAGTTATGTTTTGTTCATGATTAGATTTTATTTAAACGATTTTAATCGATGATGATATTATTATAAAATAGTTTAATATATATTAATTTAATTTAAACTATATAGAAATAAATATCTATCAGATTTAAAAGAATATATTTTATAATTTTTTTTGATAAATTTGAAAATATTAAACAAGTTTAATAAATAATTAATAGAATTATTTATTTTATTTTAAATATAATCAATTTAACTGTTTCAATTGACTATTTTATGCAACAAGTTGTTTGTTTTTTTTTATTTATTTATCATTAACCATTTTTAATGAAAAACATTGAAAATAAATGTTTATATCAATATCAATTGTCTCAAATAAGCGAAACTTTTTTCGATATAAAACCATGAAATAAACTGATTTAAATTGATTTTAAATTGCGATGGACATTGATCAACTCAATTATAAATTGGCTAAAAAACTAATTCAATGAGCAGTAATTAGATTATATAAAGTAGAAGGTAACATTGTTATCATCTTGCAAAAAAAACATCGATTATATGGAAGAAAATGTTCTTGTTTAGTTCTCCAACTCTTCTTCATCAATTACTTTTTTTTTCCATTACTACTGGTAGTTCATCATCACATTAAAAACAGTATGTATGTCAACCGATTGAGTCTATTATGAAAGAAAAACCGTAGACATACATATGCTATTATTAAAAATAAAAAAAAGCAAACATACTAGTATATACAAGTTGTCAAAGTATATTACACAACATTTGTTTATACATTAATTGATAATCGCTATATGTTATTTAATGACCATTACATTTTTTCACTATTGCATGTAAATATTAGGCTTAGATTCTGTATTAGAAAAGAAAACTTTGAATATCAGTTAACTTCAGACATTGTTATATATATATATTCACATTGAAAACAAGAAAATAATCTAAAAAAATTTTTCTTCAATAATTTTTTGAGTTCAATCTGACATTATTTAACTATTATCATAAATCGAAAGATATGACAGATAAAATAATAATACAACATTATATGGCAAAACTTGTTCTTTTTGTTTCTGTTAAAATATATCATAAATAATTTGATGTGTAAAAATATTCAATGATCTATCAATATTATTTCAATTTATTATATCAGTATAGAAATATATTGAGAAAGTTTTTTTTTACAGTTTTCTATCAAAAACAAAGAAATTTTTTACATCTGAATATATTTACTAAAGGTATATAAGCATCTTAAACTCCAGATAACTATATCAATGCTGGAAAATTATTTAATCATTTACTAGAATTAAATGTAAGAGCAGTTTTTTAATTTATTACTCTTCTATCGTCACTGTTTTGTAATTAACGAAAGAAGACAAGTAACCTTCGTCGGTCCGACTCACTTGACCCTCGACTGTATCAGACAGAAGTATACAAGTCTAATCCATGGACATGGACACCCACTTATGAAATAGCTGATTAAGGGAGAACTTATCACATATGTCGGATTAACTGAATTTTCATTCTGAAAAATTGAATTGGTTGAATATTTAATATTAAAAGCACGAGAATCGAATACTTAGTCAACGTTTTTTATGATGTTTCACCTTCCACTATGACAAAAACTTATTTTATTTCATATAATCGTTCCTACACTCGAGAAAAAATTTATTTTCTCAAAAAAAACTTTTCTCCTGAACCCAAAAAAATTCAATTGAAAATTTCGAGAAACTTACCTCAGATTCGGATTCTCTGACCTTGATTTGTTTTCGTCAACCTTTATATAATATCGTTATTTTCGCAAAAACCCTTTCCTCAACCTAAAAAGTCAATTGAAAATTTCGAGAAACTGACTTCAGATTCGGATTCTCCGACCCCGATTTACTTTCGTCAACCTTTATAAGATATCATTATTTTCTCAAAAAACCTTTTCTTGACCCTAAAAATCCAATTCAAAATTAAAAAAAACTGACTTCAGAGTCGGATTCCCCGACCCCGATTTACTTTCGTCAACCTTTATGGAAAATTTTCTAAAGTGGAAGTTTTTTTGATCCCGATGCAGACACACACACAAACTATTTTTTTTCATATGACCCTCCCTACAGTCGAGGGAATAATTAAATGAAATTACGTAGGTAACCGGCTTTAATATAACAAACATATTTTGATTCTGTGCAATTCACAGATAAACTTCTGATAAAACTGACTGTAATAAACCGTGAAAATCAGACTGTTTATATATTTATGTACGCTAGTGAAAACTATGTCGCATAAAAATTGCACTGACAACAGAGATAATCTTTTTCTGACGTAAGTTTTTTTCAGCTTGAGTCGCACTTTTGACCAATGTGTATAAATTCATCAACTGTCTGACTTTCTCACTTCATTAAACTGGCAGTCGGTCATGATTTTCTTGGAAAATTTTTTTTTGTAGAAAGATAGATAGATTTACCATTGAAAGATATATATTATATGACAATGCCAGATATTTTAGTAGCTTTCTCCTCGGTTTAGACCAATAAATAATAATACACTTTAACTTTTCATACATCAATCATTTTGAAAAGTTTACAAAACACATGTTACTATCAGAATATTTATCAGATTTCAAAAGATCACTTAAAACTTCATTAGACCTCAATATTCACGTAGGTCGTAGTACCATTGTGCTGCAAACTATATCTGAGTTAAGATGTTTAATATCGATGAAAATGCGAAATAAAATTTGACTAACAGAAAGCTTATAGGCTTGTATTATAGCTTAATGATCTCAATACACTCGTACTTGATCAGTGACATTCATTAGGGTTCGTCATTCGAAGAAAGATATACGCGTACTATACTGTCAAAAAATTAATTTCAAAATGTGCCAATAATCAATATGGTTATCAGGTCGATCAAAACGAACATCGTTTATGCATCAATTATCATAATGTTAGACAGCACTATTTCCATATAGTATTTTCATTGTAGATGACCGTATAAAAATTGTTGTTTCTTAAGCCGGTTGTCAGAAAATAACTATATTAATAAATTATCAACAGTTTATTTTAGTTCCGTTTGTAACTCTAAAATACAAATTAAAATAAACTAGGCTTACATAAGTTGAATCTCCTAAGTTAACCATTTATTTGTCCAAAAATAACAAGCAAAGTCGAAGTTTTGCAATTTTCGAAAGAAATTTCACATATTAATGAATATTATTCAAATAAAAATACCGTTTAGTCTTATTTATAGATGCTTTCGTCAAAATCGTTGTTTTGAAATTGAAATTGCATGTTTGATAATAATCAGTTATTTAAAAAAAACTGATGGACATATTTATATGAAGAGCCTTTACTTATTTGAAAAGCAGAATGTTGATATCATTGGTTTTTAATGTTTAATACTCGAGAAACATATTCGATACAGTAAATATTAATATATTATTGTCTGAAACGTTTTCTTTAGCATGTACAAATTTTTTTAAAGACTTTTTATACTAAAAAAAGATTGAATGCTCATATATGTATATATAAATAGAACATTTATTTTTAATACAATATGATGTTTACATAAGTATTTGAAAAGTTGTATATATCAGAATGAGACATGTATGTTTTTTTCCCAATGTCATTACTTTGAAATAAGTCTATCAATTATGAATATTCTTATCTAGAAATGTATATGAATTACCTAAATACTTTATTATTTCTAAAATTGATCGTTAAATTCAATGATTTTTCAATCAAACGTCTTGAAAATATTTTCTATTCAAATCTTTCTCGCGAATAATACTGAACTATAGTCAAACTATGTTCGACAACAAATCATTGAAACAGGTGACTGCCTTATGATCAAATAGACAAATTATTGACCAGATTTGCACTTTCAAAATAGTTATGAAAAAAAATAATAGGAACATAACAAGTGTCTATTTTTATATTTTTCCTTCGATCAGAAATTGTTATAGGAAATTGAACTGCCATTATGATCTAACAGATAAGATTATTTTAATTTTACAATCACTATATTGAAACTTGAAAGGTTGAATACGGACGGATAAAGAGCAAATTGCTCAACAGTTTTGATATAGAAACAGATATTATGCAAGAGAGAATTCCGATCATCATTCTATTTAACATCTTGTTTGATATTATTATGCAAGTAATTATCGAAATGGATATATGACTTAATTATGTTCAGAAAGATGAGTCAATTTAATGATAGATTAGGAAATTGATTAGACGGTCAATGATAAATTATATTCGATTAATAAATAATATTTATTAACAATCGGTTATGTTAAAGAATCAGTGTAAAAATAGAAATAATTCTAGAGTTCATCACTTTTTTAATTGTATCATACTAAGTATTATATGACGATGAAGAATATCAAAATGTAGAAAATGATTGTGGAAAAAATGTTCGTATCTTTGTATCATCTGTTCGTTTGTTCGTTCAACATCATATCTATATGACAAGATAGTCATGCTAATGTTACTTAGAAAATAATATGGTGAAGTTTTTCAATTTAATGACGTAGTTATTGGAACAACAGATTTTAATCAAACATTTTATCCATTTGGTTTAATAGCATGTTAAAATAAAAAAACACACATATAACATTATGAATTTATCTTCAGTAGTAAAGCTTTTTTTTCTAAGGATAATTTCGGTTTTAGTGATACAAGTTGAAATTTTTGATTGCTACTTATAGTTAATCAACTAATCCTCTTTAAATTTATTAATGATTATTTTACTATTGACTGTTTAATATTTATGTTGACTATTTTCATGTATTTTACTGATCTCTGAAACAGATTATGCAAAGTAATCGTTTGAGTTAATTTGAGTGTATCTATTGGATGGAAAATGCAAGTGAAGATAGATCTACATTTTTGTAAATAAAGATATACGTTTTTTTTTTTTATTATTCTAATTCCAAATGAACGCAAAATACTTTTGTATATAAACCTAGAAAATATAAGATTATGGATGATATAAAAAAAAAACTGATGATTACGAAAGATACCAGATCCATTAGAGATTTAAAGATTATACTCGAATGATATACACTTCAACATTAGATCGTTACGATCAAAGGACTAAAAACTCATTAGACAAAAAATTTCCTACTCGTCTCCATGCACTTTTACATTATTTTTCGAACCGTCATTCTTTTCTTTTTCTTTTTGTGTTTTCTCTCTCTCTCTCTCTTCATTATTTTTTTTTTGATCTTCCTCATCAACTGAAAGTCAAAAGTATAATAGACTGAAAAGCTAAACTAATCAAAATGAATTGTTCCTTTTGTGTCGTGTTTAAATATCTATAAAATCCAGTTTATGGTTTTGAAAATAAAATAAAACTGTAATTTCTTCTCTCATTTGTTTCTTATTGTTTACCAAAGTGACAATTAAAATTCGCCATTTCATGGGCAAAGTACACATACGCAAAACTCGCCCGCATTTATCGTTCTGCGCACAATTTTCATGATGCGCAACGCGTTGGTGCACATATGTCTATTCGCAACTCTTAGTGCAAACTTTTCGTATATCCGATTATACGACATTGTTATTAACTGATATTTTTTTTCTGTTCTTTCTCTATCCCATATAAAGTGTTACGAGTCAAACAAATTTACGATGATGACATTTATATCTTTTGTTCTATTCTTTTTGTTTTTCCTTCTGCTATCTTATGCCTAAATCATTTTTCATGCTTTGTCAATATTGTTTTGATGTAGACAATAAAAGTCGATCATAAAACACAAAAAAAAAAGAATGATAATAATATGATTCATTATTTGTATTATAATTTCGTTCATAAAAATAATTTTAAAAGATCGTTGTTCAATATTTGTTATTTAGATTTTGTTCATTTAAATAGAATTCACCTTGTCTTTTTATTTTAATCTATATTGGAAGATAATATCAGTAGATATATTTATTTATTATTAAGCAAAAAAAACAGAAGTTTTCATTTATAATGCATCAATCAACTGTTTATTAGCATGAAAAAAACAACCAGTAAATTTCTTAGGAAAGTAATCAGACAGAACTAAAAAGGGAAACGATAAATTTTCACATATTTGTTTTTCAATATTTTCAAAATAATATTTTATTTTATGAACGATGATTGATATTAATCTTTAGCCGATATTTTCAAGGCAACTTTAAATATAAATATGATGCATAGAGGTACTTTATGTCGAGACTTGTTATTGCGACATAATCGTTCTCAAGACAAACAAACATTGAAAAAGTAATACCGATATTTGTTTCGATAAAATATAATATCAATTTAATACTAAGAAAAATATGTATGCATCAGTCACAGAGCAAATGAGGCGTAAATGTTTTTTTTTTCTCATAATTATCTGCGTTGTTGTTTGTAAATTAGAATATATATAAGCAACCGATTTCGTCAGATAAACAAAATAGTATAATATACCTTGAGTAACAAGGACCATTTCGATTAAGATTATTTAAGAAGAAAATGTCGACAAATACACCAGTTATTAACAAACAAAGAATAGATTCCGTTGTTGAAATCGATCCTACTGAAAATTATGATCTACCATCGAAAAAAACTTTTGTATTAACAGATGAACAATTGGAATTCATGTTAGGACGAATAATTAAATTACATAATACACCTTCGTCTTCTCCTTCTCCTCCAAATTCTTCAAATGCAATTGGAAATCCTGGTCCACTTGGTCTTGCTGCATTTGCATTAACAACATTTATGCTTTCAGTATTTAATGCTGGTTCAAATTTAATTGATCCTCATTTAGAAGCAGTTGTTTTGCCAGTAGCATTATTTTATGGTGGTGCAGCACAATTTGCTGCTGGAATGTGGGAATATCGTGTTAATAATACATTCGGTGGAACAACATTCACAAGTTATGGAGCTTTTTGGATGTCATTTGCAGCTTATGTTTATTTGATTGTACCAAAAATTGAAGCAGTGAATAAAACAAAAAAAGCTACAGGACTTTTTCTTTTATCATGGTTTATTTTTACTATTTATATGAATGTTGCTGCTTGGAGAGTTTCAAAAGTAATATTTTCTATATTTACTATACTTAATTTAACATTTTTATTTTTGATTATTGGTACTCTTGGTAATGTACCTGTTATAACAAATATTGGAGGATGGTTCGGAATAGTTACTGCATTTTTAGCATGGTATGCTTCTGCTGCTGCTATTATTAATACAACTTATAAAAAATCAATATTACCTGTTGGACCTTACAAACCAAAAGAAAAATCATCTTCGATTATTATTACTCATTTTTAATCAAAGAATTATAATAACATTATTTTATTTTATTTTCATTGACATCTATTTTTTTTCTTTTTTTCATTCTAATAATTTTGTTAAAATATTTATTATTAGAATTGTCATGATGATGTCTTTAATAGAAATTTGTTTATTTCAATGTGTTTACTATATTAACAAAAAGAAAAACTATTTTCAAAATAAATTTAATCGATTTTGTAAATAGAATTATTTTTAATAAAAGTCAAATCTTTTATATTTATTAATATAAGAATCCTTTATTCGAAATCATTATTAAATCGTCTATTTATATTATATTTACATACAAACAAAATCTTTTTAAATTTAATCTTCTCTTTAAACATGTCTATTTCTTTGATTTATATACAGATTTACAAAGAATATTCTACATAATAACATAAAAAGGTTATTATATCATATAATATATTTAAAATCTCTATAATATAATATATGAAAATAGTTCGACATAAAATATTCTAATAGATTGAACGTTTTTTTAAATCAATGATAGAAAATCAATATAATTGTTTGATATGTCTCTATCCCCAACAATAAATATATATTTTTATTTTTAATACTAAGATTTTATGCATTTTTCTTCATTCAATTAAATTCATAGAAAAATATTTCCAAAAACAAAAAAACAAAAAAAAATCAAAAATGTAAAATTATCTATATTTGTGTTTAGTAAAAGAGTCTCATTGGTTTTTTTTCCTTAATTTTTAGATTTTTCTTCAATAATTTCGACAAAAAAAAGGTAATTAATGATTGAAAACATATATTGATATTAAAATCGAATTGAATATCAATTAAAAGCTAAACTGAATATAATATATATCGATGAAAGATATTTTACCATCAAAAAGCACTTGAGGAAAAGCAACTACGGGAGAAAGTTTTCAAAAAGTATTAAGGAGAACACAGAGATCGTCGTGTAGAAATAAATTTTACATCGATATATATTATATTTAATTCGATTTTAATATCAATATATGTTTTCAATCATTAATTACCTTTTTTTTGTCGAAATTATTGAAGAAAAATCTAAAAATTAAGGAAAAAAAACCAATGAGACTCTTTTACTAAACACAAATATAGATAATTTTACATTTTTGATTTTTTTTTGTCTTTTTGTTTTTGGAAATATTTTTCTATGAATTTAATTGAATGAAGAAAAATGCATAAAATCTTAGTATTAAAAATAAAAATATATATTTATTGTTGGGGATAGAGACATATCAAACAATTATATTGATTTTCTATCATTGATTTAAAAAAACGTTCAATCTATTAGAATATTTTATGTCGAACTATTTTCATATATTATATTATAGAGATTTTAAATATATTATATGAAATAATAACCTTTTTATATTATCGTATGATTAAAAGAAAAAATTTTTCGCTCTATTCGATACAGTTTGGTTGATAATCATAGACAATTATAAAGATCTCATTCTGAAAATCCGAGAAACAATGTGAAAATTTCGATGTTTTTACAGTAAAATTTTCGAATCGTTTTTCGATTGTTAAAAGTTCCATATGAATACTTGAAAAACAGTTCATTCGATAGATAATACTTTGAAATCTATCGAAAGCAATAAATAAATAAAAATTTCGAAAATATTCGATCGAAACGAAAATGAATTAAGTCAATTGAGAAGATTTTTTAATAAAGTTTTTCTCGATTATATTATATTATATAATGTATGATATTTAGTCACCCATGTCGTGAAAATCGGGGCAATTTTGCCGATCATCGGAAAAAACAGGCGTAAAATCGTGATTAATCGTATTTGCTTAAGAAATCGGCGATAAAATAAGATTTTATCACGATATATACAAGAGAATCGATTAATCGTTATATCGGGGAAAATCAGTTTGATTAATCGGAATTGATCGTGATTAATCGGAATTAATCGTGGTTAATCGAACTTTTTTTTATTCAGGTGTATATTTTTCTATTAAATAAACAAAATTAAATTTATTATTATACAAAAAAGAAATATAAATACATCAGATTTTGGCTTCACAACTACAATCATAATAAGATAAATGAAATTGAATTATTACGTTTAATGTCAGTACTACAAGAGCGGCTATCAAGAATATTAATCAACGTCTCAAAACCAATGCTATTTTGAGTAGTGTTTACAGAGGAGCTATTGATGATTTCCATAAAATAACTAAAATCGTACGAGTTGTTTCTGCTCTACGTAATATGAACTTGAATAAACTTAAGATTTATATAATATTTGTTAAAAAATTTGTAAAATAAAGTAGTTGTTGGTACTTTAATCATGCCTTCCTTTACCTTTTCTCATTCATTGAGAAATTATTTTAATTTCGTCTAGTCCAAATTAGCATTGTAATTTCGTCTGGACGAAGTCTTAATTAGGCTGAATTCTAATTTAGGTCATAACATATATATTTCATTTATCTCATCTAAATATTTTATTTTTTTAGATGTTTAACTCTCAAATACCATGTACTAGTCGAGCAAGCTGACTACGACAGCAACGTTTGAAAAAAATAATAAGCAGCCTCAAATTTCTTAAATAAGGTTGAGTCTTATGGTATATCATCTGACGATCACTGTTTGGGAACCAATGCTTGAGTGTATTAAATCACGACGACGAAATACAAAAAAAAATAGCAACACGTGCTAAACCTGGTATGTCTTTCCAAATCCTAATATATATTTCAATGATTCATTTTTATAGGTGACAATATTGGTAATAGTAATCATAGGCGGCGTGCCAGCAATGCAATGGTTAGCAATTGCTACCCCTAAAAACAATTATTAGAAGCAATAAGAACTTATTGCTTCCTCTAATTTTTTACGTTTCCTGGGTATTCTAGAAAAAAATCTGAAACTTCAGTGTTTCATAAACTATGTTAAATAAATCTACTCAATAAAAAGTGCATATGCTCCCAGGACGAACAATCTGACAGTGAATCTCATCGGATCCTTTCCGGATTCTGTCGGATCCCACTAGATTCCGTCGAAGTCCTGGTTGCGGACTCACTAACGGATCCCATGTTGGCATCCGATCGAAATCCGATAGAATCCTACAGGAATCTCGTTGGAATATGCTTACTAAAATTCCTATCGAATTCAACTGTTGGATTTGGTCGAATGCTCGCCGGATTCCAACATTAGGGATCCGTTAGTGGGTCCGCAATCCGGATTCCGATCGGGCTTTGTCGGTTGATCGGATTCTATCAGATTCGATCGCATTCATTGTCGGATTCATTCAACTGGGCTAATTAAAATGGTCTTAACACATAACTAGAGGAGTTAATGCCCGAACTTTCCACACAGTACCTTCAAGAAGTTAAATTCTGGCAAAAACAATTTTTTGCATCGGACTGAGCACGAGATGGGAAATAGAGCTCATTTAACAGTTTATTGCTAATCAACGAATTATATCTATATCAGTTTATAAATGATCAATAGATAATATTTATCGAATTGATAATATATGGTTATATTAAACTTGAATTTATTTCTCAAGGTAAACATTTGTTATCCAAATTGGTCTGTTATCATATATATTAACATAAGAGAAGATTAGTTTTTTTATATTTAAAATCATGCAATATAATTAATTTCATCGTTTTATTCGATATTTGTTGATATGTATATATATAGAGATATTTATTCACTTATATTTCAACTTGAAGTTCAATCAGTTAATCAATAGTTAAAATCTAATAAAATCTATCATATTATTCGTTATCATCGATTATATTCAAATATAATATTAACTGATATTTTGCCTTTATTAAATATCATATAATATAACAATAGACAATAATATAATTCGATATTTCTATTAAAAATCTATTAATAATTGTTATAATTCTATCATAGATGATCAAGATTTTCTTCGAGATAATGTTTGACCAATAGGTGAATATCATTTAATAGAAGATGAGAGTTTTAATTGTAAATAATATAAATTATCAAGAACTTATTCAATAGGATAAATTTCAATGATAAAATTCGTTGGTTATCGTTGACCTTGTCATGATGATCAAGATCCACCATAACCAACCATATCCTATTCAATGTCTATCATAGAATAATACAGATAAATATTTATCTTAGATTTTTCTTCAACCATAATAATATAGATAGATGTATATATATGGATTTTAATTCTATTCAAAGTTAGTTTTATTTGTTGCATATATTTTTTTTCTTGTTGTTGTTGTTGTTTAATATAATGTGTCTATCAATCGATCGATTATAATAGAATATTTATATTATTAAATAATCTATTTTATTTTAGTTTATTTTAGTTTATTTAAAAAAAAATCAAAATATTGAATTATTTCGAGATTTATCTGCTAGAAAATATTATTAACAATCGATTATAAATATATTTATTCAATAGTTAAATGTTTAAATAAATCTTAGTTAAACTTATAGAGTTCTACCCCTATGATTAATATCGACAATAATTAACCTTGTTTAGTTTGTTTTATTTTTAAATTGTCTTATAATCGATTGTTTTCATATATATATATATATGTATAAAAGTTGAAAGTAAATCAGTTCGTTTAATATTTTAAAAGTGATCGATTGTTAATCATTGGTTATTACTTCCTAACATATAGATTTATATTTTCAATTTATTATTTTTTTTGTCTTTTAGTCAATTTGATTTATTTAGCAAAAATGAATAAATAATTAACTTATATTAAATAATAATTAATTATTTTAAATAAAAAACTATTGAACATTATTCATTATTATAAATAAACAAATTATGTTTAAACAAGTCATTTATATCAATAAAGGATAATGATAAAAACAAAACATTAAGAGAGAGAATAAAAACTAAATCTGGTCAACCACTAAGAAGTGCGAACAATATTAAATGAGTTAAGATAAAATGAAAGAAAACAAACGAAAACGAAAACGAAAAAGAAAAGTTAAAAAGTATTTATATATAAATGCCTAGTAATAGTGTTATGTACTTCAACGT